GTATCGAATCGTATCGAATCGTATTGAATCGTATCGTTGGCTGAATGAGCTTGTGAGCTGAATATCGTGTATCGTATTGTATCGTGAGATTAGTGTATCGCTACAGCCCTACAACAACTACACTTGCTGCCCTACAGTGTTGACAATAACACTGACACATAAGCTACATTAGTGTGCATTAGCTCAAGCAAACACAAGTTTCTTGAAGCAGAGATTAATTTTACCTCAAGATCTAATTATTAATGATCTTGTCAAGCAACACCCTCCGAAGCTTTGACTGTCTCGTCAAATGAACAATACCTTTGTGTACCAATGCCATCACAAGTTGTGAAAGAAATGACCCACTAGGGTTGGGCAATTGAATGAATATATATGAGTTATTGGCAATTTTATTTAGCTAATTGAATGGTCTGTCTCCAAAGAACGAGAGCCACTGCTTAGCAACAGACTGTTAGATGGTTAGATACCAGAGTAACCACGAAAGGGGGTAGCACACACACATGAAAATATATCAGCAATCACTGATTGTTGGGCTGATGGTTGGCAAATCTTAACATATCGCCCAACCCTATTACCCTCAAAACCATATTCCATAGGGCTGTACTGGAGTTCCACAGCTGTTTTGTTTTGGGTCAGTGTTTTCCTGACTCCACATAACAACAACATTAATGCAGTCAGAGCCGTTTTCATCGCATCTACAAGGAACTCGTTCCCCTTTAAAGACTCAGTCAGTCATACAGCAAATCATTTCTCTACTAAAATGATATCATACAATCCCATGAAGCAAACCTCTCAAAATAACATCTTAATTCAAATGACAGTAAGCAGAGATTATACTCTTATCTAAAAATGCTTTCATATTAGTGAGCTTTTCAAGGAAAGCTGGGAAGCAGGAAAGGGATGAAAAGAAAGAAGGAAATTGACCTGAATTATGTGCAATATTGCCACACTGGGAGGGGAATTGAAGCATGTCTCCATGCATGCGCAGCTTCCCCTCAGCACTATCTTTAAAGACCTGCCAATCTTTACAGCTGAAATTCACTTTTAACTGGCATCTGCTACAAAGTCAGTGAGTTGAGACTATAAATGCTAAGATTCCCTCTGTAATGTGGGAACTTAAACATGAAACTACAAGGAGAATCCTCTTAGCACGATCAGTGAACTGTGTAGGAAGAAAGCTGGATTTACACCCCCTCTTTAAATAATGTCTTTTGAAAAACATGTAAATTTGAAAGGCAGTATAGTAAGAATACTGTTAGAGCAAAGTTATTTGCACTGAAACATTATGCACAATGTTGAGAGCTCACCTGAGAGCAACGTCTCCACGGTCCTCCATTTAAACGAAATCAAACTTTTCTTGAACTCTATATCTCTGAAAGTTCTATAACTATTCATTGACTAAAACAAAATCTATGATTTATATTATTTAAGGCACTGTGATGGAAAACAATCACCCTTGCTATTCATAAAGATTCCATTATTTGCAATAACAGATTGATACAGCTAAGTATAGTAATGAGTGGTGGGAGTATATAAACAATAAATATTAATATAAAGCCTCATACAGCATTCACACCGCACAGTCTTATAGAGATGGAAACTCTTTACAGACCTACAGTATAAAATATGTTGTGGGAATAAACACACAATGCATAACTATATTTTGCAAGTAAAGACCTTTGAGCTAGAAAATCATTTTCAAATAGTTTTACTTCTGCTCCATTTAGCGAGAGTTTGTAAAATTGTTCGAGCAGTCCACACCTCACTTTGGCACATCATTTATCAGTAACAAAAGTGTTATGCTGTTGTACAAAGACTTTTCCACCACGCTGGTCCTCTGACAGTTAAAAGAAACATTGCCTTTTCCACATTACAAGTTTCCTCTTGGCAGTGCAGCCACAGTTAACTGAAGACAGGGAGGCCTGAGGGTGTTCGCCTCTGTGCTGGCTGCTCATACCTTCTGTGTCCTGGCCCCAGCTGTGGGTTAGCAAAGAGAGGATTGCCATTCCTGTCCCCAGCCATCTGACGAGCCACCACCCCCGTTGCATCTTCTGTCAAGCCTTATTGCCTGCCCACCTGGACAAAAAAACGGGAGAGAAGATTTTTCATTCATGTCTCACTGAGCCCTCCAGCCCTAACACATGCACACACATTTATACACACACAGCCACACATGCACATCTACCTGCAGCATTATCATCAGGTCAATATTTTTGAAGAACACATTAATCTTATAATCAAATTTTCCTTACAGTAAATAACATAATCCACTGGATTATGTGAATCGATCTGAATCCATGCAGTTACTTCTGGATTACTCCCAATATCGACTAAATTTTCTTAAACACAGGGATAGTTTGATTTACCATCCACGCAGATCCAAAACTCACCATTAATGTGTAAAGTCTCTATTGTAATTTGCTTGAAATCTATTTCAGGTGAAACCTTTCCTCACTTTTTGTGAGGATTCAGAGCAAGAAGCACTCATTTTCCCCTTCCCTCACAGATAATGCAAGAATGTTTGGACAGTGAGCTTTCCCTTTCCCAATCAGTTTTGGGAAGGGAAGGGTTTTGTTTTGTTGCCCACTAGAGCATGTATCCATGCGACGGGTTATAGTGTCGTGACTCCAGATGACTTCAGGACTGAAATTTTGATGGAAAAGGGACTAAATACAAACATGCTTTAATATACTCAGATGGATTATGCAGTGAGGTATGAGAGAAGCTTTTCTGAAAAATGTGATGGGACTTTTTTATAGTCTTAACTAGGGGTGTCACGATTTCGATTTAAAATCGAAATCGATCGAAATTACATCTCAATCTCGAACTTCAAAGTCAAAGATCGACGATGCAGCCACACCCCCAATGTACAGAATGTACGCCAAGACGCAAAAACATATAAGGAATGGATTAATATTAATAGTAATATTAAAAAAAGATCGAAAATCGAATCGAATCGTGACTTTAAAATCGAAAATTAAATCGAATCAAGGATTTGGAGAATCGTGACACCCCTAGTCTTAACTATTTACAATCCATTTCAGATGTGATCAATTTAAGCTGAACACAGCCTCCACCCAAGAAAGAGCCAACTACAAACTTTTTAAACCAACTATTTACTGTAAGTCTACCGGGGGTGAATATTATGTTAATGGAATAACTGCACAAACAAACAGACAAACAAAACATCCTTGTCAGAAGTTATAACCTTGTATAACAAAAATCACAAACAACCACCACCAACAGACATTCACTTCTATAGATTATGAACCAAACTACTGACAGACGAGATTTACAGTAAATACACCTATTCAGGCTCTGGTGGAAATCACAAGCAAAGCAGTGTGCACAGATTGTACATTGAGCCTTGTCGTGCAGCGCACACACAAATCCATAGCACACAGCCTCCACTCTGAGCTAGAGGAAGGCAAGTTGTCAGTTCAAGGAATATAAAGGGTTTTTTAGCTTCTATCTGTCTAAGCTATTTGATGTCACACCTTCCTCACAAGGCTTACTCTCAGAGCAAGCGATAAGCTGTGAAATCAGCTTTCATGGCATATGCTAAGGGGACGAAAGGGGACTCACAAGCATCAACATGATCATATCAAACAGTGTTTGACAAAAATCTAAATCTCTAACGTATCAGCATTTCTTCATTTGCAAGAATGAGCCCCCCCCCCATTTCTCTATAAAACCGATTGTAGAGTATTTATTTACTTCACTTGCTTTCTTACGGATCTGTGCAGCCACATACCTAAAGATATTTTACACCACTGAACCCCAACAACAGACATCCTGCATGAACACTCTACGGACGACAAGAGACAGCTGTGTTCTCTTCTCTTACAGTGCAACAACAAGAGTGATTTCACACTGGTTTCCTATTCTCTCACTGCCTTCTCATCTCTCTGGCTCCCAGTGGTGTTCCCTTTTGAAGCAGATCTGATTTCCCACATTCATACATCTATCTTTCTTAAGAGGCCTGAGTAAGATTGCTTTGATCCCTTTCACATGAGAAAACTCAGTCAGACCTGCACAACCAGCCACCCTGAAGTGGGAAGTTATTTCTTTCCATAGCTTCCTCCAAATCTCCTCTTGGTTGACATGGGAACGCTGCATCTCATTTACATAGGCTAACAACGATGTGCCTTCAAACTTAATGAACAGGGAACTGAAGAGATTGCTGATCAAGTGCTGAAAGAAACACGTCTCCAATATTCTGGTTCCAAACAGTCCTCTTATAATGGCCCATGAGTCACATCATGAGCAACTATCCGTATTTTTAACAACAATAAAATGCTTTGATGAAACCCAAAGGGCAACAGTTCAATTCCACTTTACTTTAAAGCATTTAATGTAATCGCAATCAAACCACAATCCTTCCAAGTTAAAAAGGTTATGCCAAATAAAAATGCCTGCCTGTATGTCTATACAGCGCCTCTGCCATTATATGTCTTTGGTGAAGGGGGAAAAGTGCTTAAACTTATGATGTAGGGGGTGGTCGAGAAAGAGCAGACGGTGTTAAAGGTAGGGTGGGGAGAGGTGAATGAAGCAATCACAGTTATGGATTACACAGAGAGTGCAGATGCAGTTCTTTATCCCCTAAGTGCAGGGGCTTTGCGCACCCTGAAAGAAAAAACAAACAAACAGCTTGTCTCTCTCTTTCTTCCTCTGTCTGTGTTTCTTCGATCGTCTCTCGTCCGGCATCGAATTCTTTTTCCACCTCTTCCTGTTCGTGTGCTTTGGTGTTGACAGACTGTCAGAGATGTCTCGATAACAGAAATCACAACTTTTTATTAACTCTTCTAAGCCAAACATGTCATCAACCGAAGGTTGATTGTATTATTTGCTGGAACATCACTGGAGGTTTGGTCATCAGTTTTAGTTAAAAGGTATATCAATAGCTAATTTACCTTGTAGCAGATTGAACAAGGTGAAAAAATCGTTTTAAATTTAATTTCGCAATTCACGATTTCAAATCAAGATTGTGATTGAAAGCGTCCATAGTCTACTATGCAACATTTAATGTTCTGTTTCCCAACTTCACATAAGCTGACTGATGAGCCCTGCTAGGTGAACAAACCAAAANNATCCCAGAGGGAAATTATTTAAAAGAGGAATGTAGGCAACCAGATGGCTATGCTGACTGGATAAATTACTTTACGTGGCCCTTCCACGTGTTGTAAGCAACTGAGTTGTGAGTACTTGAAAAGGGTTATTTTATGTGATCTTTTGACTTCTGTTACTAACTTCAAATTAAACTCTTAATTACTGTTTATGTATACTATGTAGTATCTTTAATGCAATATTGTGCTTTAATGGTGCAAATTGAGAGATTCATAAGCTATTTAAAGTCTGACTAATAGTCTACAGGACATTTCAAAGCTGAGAAAAAAGATTGCAATTTCGATTATTTTTTGGCCAGATCGCCCACCCTTATCACAATCACACCAGTACACCAACAGGGATACTGTCTATGCATGAACAAGTTAACAAAACATTACAAAGTTGCTTTTTGTTAAGTGTCTGTAAACAGATAAAACTCTAGTCTTCCAATTCATAAGACTAATAAAACGTAGAGTCAAGGCGTTGTTTATGTACTCCACCATGTGAGTCATCACACCGGAGGGTGTCATCTGAACAGCAGAGCCACATAACTAGCAGAATTTAATTCCCCATGCCCATATCCGGCCGCTGTCTGTGATGTAAAAAAGACTGTGATAAATAATTATGTTTATGCCTTTAAAACTTTTAATTTTATTGCCTGTTTTATAATTTTAAAAAGCTCATTTTAAGTTAGTTTTAAAGAGCTTTTGGGTCTTTTGTATACTTATCAAAAAAATAAATAAACCCAGTTTGCGCTGAAAAATAAAGGATTTTTCTAAGGTCAATACCACTGGACTAAAAATTCTACCTGCATAGATTGTACCTCTAATCGGCAGCTAAATGTTCCCGTCATGTGGAGGCTCTATGATACTTTGTAGTGCTACTTTGCCTCCATGAATTGTTTTTCCTGTTTTATGTCAAAATACATCTATTCAGCTCTACAAAATAGCTGACATTGCCAGTCAGAGAATGTGGATCTCAGATGGTGACCACTGAAGCGGTGAAGTAATGACACCTTACTGTTGTTTTCCACCTGTTAAGTGGAGGTGTGGATGCTGCTTCTCTTTGATAGTTGACAGTGGAGGATTTTTGAGTGGGTCAGTCTAAAATCAGTGTCTGTTAAATATGTAGCAGCACAGCCAATCACTGTAGCAGAACAAAACGGACCAGAAACACAAAAGCTAAGATTCACTGACATAATCTGACTGTGCCACTCCAACATTCTCTATCTTGACTGTAACATATTTCTCTACGGTCTCGATACTTGTGCTGGGCTTTGTGGTTGAAATCAGTAGTAGTAGTAGTAGAGTATTTAGTACAAGGAAATTTACCAATAGATAAACATCATAGTATGGCAAATATTACATAATAACAAATTACATAAAATAATTTGATTAAATAATCTTCTGCTACAAGCACTGAAGAGTGCTCCATTGTTATGAATTACATAAGACGTAAAACAACAACTTGGTAGCTTTTATTCAGTTTGTTCAAAGTCATTGCTTTAGATCAGAAATGTCCATAAATACAGTACATCATGAGCCAGGATTAATTCCCACCAACAGGATTTGACAAACTAATAAATTAAACTTCGTCAAATTAAGTATCTACAATTACCAAGAGTACCTAAGCTTTGAACTTTGAACTGTCTCCGTTCACTAACTCTGTCCAGCAGGACAGGTGCTCCTAAAAAACTAACAACAGATAAGTAAAAAGAATGTCTTAAACCACTACATATGTGCCAGCTATACACCCAGTTGCCAGTTTATTAGATACACCTAGTTAAAACCACTAGCGGCGCCAGGATTTTGATTGTGAGTGGGCCTCCAGAAAACTGGATGGGGAAAAAAAAAAAAAAAACGGGTTCCCCTTCATCTCCGTTTCAGCGCTTTTCTGCGGCACT